AACGGAAATTGTTTGAATGTCTTTAGCTAAATTCGCAAGTTCACTACGACTATTGTGCGCAATATCTTGCAGTTGTTTAGAAATATATGCAAAATCAACGAAAGAATTACGAGATGGATCAACTGAGCCATCAGCAAATAAGGCTGGTGCAAAGGGAGCTTGCTTAACAACGGAACTAAAAGTGCGAGCAGATGGCATGGGCGCCTGAACTTCATTTGACTGAGAAATTTGTTCTTCTTTTTGTGTTTTGAATGTTAAAAAAACTGCCCTGAATCGGCTGATTTTGTGGCAAAAGTTGATTTACTCTGGCACGTAAAGTACGAGGAGCATGACATTGATTAGGCAAGAGATGCTTGTCTATCAAATGACCCATTAGTACCCAACGATATTTGATTAAAGCGGGGCATCGGCTATCATAAAACATATGAGATTGTGAACAGTTTCTACAACTCATTTCGCCCGAACATTTGTGCTCTTTCTGCGCTACAAGTTGTTCGGAACAAATTTTACAAAGTGCATACTGTTCTTTACAGTCTTTATCATAATGACCATATCCATGACATTTCTGACAAAACAAGACTTTTGGCGTGCTAAAAAATTCTTTGATCTTGAATTCAAAATGATCTAGACTAATCTTACCAATTTGTTTACATCTGTCATATTCTGTAGAATTCCGAAAGTCTAATCTAACATTTACACTTGTTATCGATTTATACGTTGGTTGACTAGCGGCTATAACAATCGATGGATAAATTCTTTGAACATCTTGTCTTAATTCATCTATATTAGTGCCAGACGGAACGGCTAACATTAAGAGAGATAACTGTGCGGGTATTTTATGAGGCCATTCAATTTCAAATTTCTGATTATCTAGTAGCCTGGGAAATATCCTTTCGTCTAATAGACAGGAGAAGGTTTCACGATTTTGTGAGTAAAGTAAGATTCGTCCATTACTAATCCTCCAAAAAGAAATCTTAAATGTTTGGCAATGTTCTGTCTTAAAATCATTTATGAATCTCATTACTGCTTCTCCATTTAGTCTAACATTTTTATTCATTGGACATATTTTGATAGGTGGAAAATCAAATCCTCTAGCATATTGTTCTGCTGATTTCGATACGGTGGTGTTTGAAAGTTGACGACGATAATTAATTGGTTGAGAACCGTGGATACTATTTGCACTGGTAGATGATAACTCTTTCGGCACCACTCTAGTCTTTTGATGTTTAGGTTGAACTTTTATTGTTGCTGGATCATTTAAAAAGTCTTGAATTTGTGTGAGATCATGTACTCCTTCTTCCTGTAAGCTATTATGAGTAGGAATCAAACTAGCAGCGGCCACAAACTGACTAAGGTTTGCCTTAGTTTGTTTAATTAAAACATCTGTTTCCATACTAGTATCAGAGAGAGAAATTAATAATTCTGGTTTCTGTTTTCGTTTTCGTTTTTCTGCATTCTTCTTATGATGATTTTCGTTTTTTTCTTCTCCATCGATATTTTCTTGTTGATGACTATCGCCATCGTTTAATACAAGTGATTTATTCTCAGAAATATTACTTGATCCTGGTAATAGGCATTGTGATTGTCGCTGTGACTTATTAGCACCAGTTTTCTTTGATTTCTTTTCTCTCGCCAGCATATTATAGTGTACGGAGCATTTATTTTCATAACAAAGTGATTTTCATGTAAAACTTATACCATTCTAATCGGCACAATAGAAGGGGTCGATTGAAACTGTTTACAACTATCGTGAAGGTCTCTATAAGGCACAAGTCGTTGGCGAATGAATCTATAATATTATTAATTTAAAAACTCATTGTAAGAAAAATTTTTTCAAAAAACGTGGCGCGCACAAACTCAAAAGGTGCAAAAAAAAGGAAATCCTTCTCATAATCTCTAAAACATTTTGAAACTTTTTTGACGATACTACAAGGAAGCCCTAACTTTTTACCATATATTCCATAAAAAATTCAAGGTTCACTACGAGTTTATATACGGAAACGTTTCTATAGTAACATAATAGAAGAAATATTGTAGAAGAACTACCTTCAACTATATGAAAATAGGCTGGATGGCCTAGGCTTAAAGCTATAGAACAAACATTATAGTGAATCCTTGAAAATGTTCAAATGGATGCCACAGGCGACAGATGGAAAAGCTTTAATGTTGCATCATTTAGGATGTACAGTTACACTATTTTTTTCGTTTTGTTTGAACTTGAGCGTTGTGGTGAACGCGAACTTTATTTTATTTACCAACGATGTTCATCTGGCGTGAATGAAAAATCATAGGCAAATCGTAAGCGTGTTACGCGGCCACCTGAAAGAGTAGTATTATTGCCAAACTGTAACCAGTGTTCGAACAAATACCAGATGTCTGCTATATCGCGCTTAGCATTCTATACTTTTAAGTTGAAATATGTATAATCGATGGGTTTCTGTTCGTTTTTGTTACACACTACTATCCGTTTGAAAAGTTCCGTGCACTCGCGCAGCTCTGTAATAAGTTTTGAGCAAAATGAGATAGAGACCTGCAGATGTCAGCAATCAAAAAACGACAGTTCTGGCTGTATTTTTAGAAACAAAACTGACTTTCGAAAAGATTGAGAAGGTCGATTTTCTACAAGATCTTTGGAAAACCAGTTCGGATTTCTAGTGACCGACAAAGTAATCTATTGTTTTCTTTCTCTTAGACATATGGTCCGAAGTGTCCACCGCAAAATAAGATCTAAGCAAAAGTTCAGTTTTACTTACTTTGAGCGCAGACAGTTTTGGCTATATTTTTACAAACAAAACTGTCTTTCGAAAAGATATTTTTTTGTCTAGAAACGGAAATAACTTGCCAGGGGCACTTCTGTGAAAAAGCGCTTTTAGTAGAAAAAATTAAAATCCATATATCTCAACCAAATCTCATGTTACCTCAAGGAGCCTTTCAGGAAAGGTTTCTGGAAAACCTTAAGCCACTGCCCAGCTGAAATTCATCTTTTTCGTCTTCGATTATGATTTATGAGTTGTCCTGAGCGTTGCTGAACATTTCCGTGAGTCAGCACGAGATTTGACCGAGATACAAGGATTTTAATCTTTTCTAGTAACAGACGAAAAACCGGTTTTTCACAAAAGTGGCTCTGACGACCTTATATCCACTTCACTATTATGAAACTGGACTGTTAATTACTGGAATCATTGTATGCAAGAACGACTTTAATCAGCATCTTTTGAACTATTAAGCTCTAATTGATACTCTCCTGAATTCCAATATAATTTCTTTTTTACATGCAACAGCGCGTTTAGGTATCTCTGACAATTCAACTATTCGGCCTGTCCAAATGTAACGGAATTTCATTTTCTAGACTTTTACGCCCTCTATTTCTGCAACCACTGAGCAGATAATAATGAAATTTTTACCGACGACGTATAGTCAGACGGCTTTCTACCAAAAACAATTTGAGTCTATTTCATTGAGTCTGTCAGACTTTACGGCTAAAATGCGGGTAAAGTAGGAAAAAGATTCAACGGCCTTCTCGTTCTGTCAACCAATGACAACCCCTTTTGCGAAAGCTATATTCTCACACATTCTATAGTAACATGATAGAAGAAATACTGTAGAAGAACTACCTTCAGCTGTATGAAAATAGGCTGGATGGACTAGGTTTAAAGCTATAGAACAAACATTATAGTGAATCCTTGAAAATGTTCCAATGAATGCCACAGGCGACAAAGGAAAAAGCTTTAATGTTGCATCATTTAGGACGGAGCGAACGGAGCCTGTTTCGCCTGCTGAGCAGGACAGTGTGATTTTAATCCACAAAATCAAATAATTGCATAGACAAATAACAAAAACAAGCTCATTAAATTCAGATGTTTTAACCACCTGACTTCTTTAATTATTTGTCGTACTTGGTCAGATTTACTATGAGGACCAACTAAACGGTATTGTGCATTCATAATTGGACCACACATACATTTTAGCCACAGTGATGGATCACTAAAAAACATTTTCACTAGATGTGGTCTGCATCCAATTGTACGAGCCAAATCATCTGAATAGATGACAAAATCTGTTAAATTAACAATTCGATTTGTTCTGTAAGGTGTTAGTTGCCATTCAATATATTTAACATAAGTTTTGCTTTGTTCAATCATTGTTTCCTTATCTGGTAATGCTAATTTATTTGAACATAATAATGCATACCATCTAGCTTGCATTTCAGCTAGTGGTGGTATAGCACCAAAATAAGGACGAACAAAACCAATGAAAAATAATTCATCGCCTAAATGAGGATGTACACAATGTTTGTATAGATCATGTGATATACGTGCGTCATATGCCACTTTACGTACTAACTCAGCATGCATTGGATCTGCTTGTTTATCACCTATTTCCAGAAATGGAAATTCACTTATAAAACCA